GAATGAGCCAGAATCAGGAGGGAAGGGCGTATAACGACGTGTAGTGCGATGTGAGTTTCACCTCGCAACGAAAACCGGGTCGGATGAGATAAACCGCCTACATCGCCATTCTGATTAAACTCATATGGAACGAAATAATCGAAATTACATCATCACTGAAAATGATTACTCTCAACGAGAATGTGAGCACGAAAAAGCACTTAGTAGACCTTCCTCTGTCTTAGAAAGAGATGATGAAGTTCTAAGGCAAGGGAAGGGAGAAAGAAACAAAAGAGAAAACACAAAAAAAGAAGAGGAATCAATGTAGTAAACTGAGAAGAACTGTCCCCAAAAGGCTTGAGTTGCTCATCTGTGAAAAAATTACGGCCGCATGAATAAGCGAAAGTGTGACAGCGAATCAAATCAGTTCTGGAACGCCCGATCTAATTCGGATGCAATTTTCCATTTAGGGCCCGATTCCAGGTCAGAGTCCGGGGTCAAAAGACCATAAAGGATCATATATTCATGGACGCATGCGTATGCTAAGTCACGCACTTAAGCGAAACTCAGAGAAGATGTCTTTTCCGATTGTTAAAAAAGTTTGTGGGATTTATGGGGCAATTTCTCATGACCCACTAGAGAGGTCAGGCTGCTAACCTCACTGTGAGAAGAATAGATTCGCTTTCATTAGTCCAATACTTCTTGTTCCAGCAGAAAACTCAAAGGGCAGCGCAGTAAACTGTGTTGTTCTTGTTTCGATTTGAACTGTCAGGCTCATCGATTTTAAAGCAGATAAGTTGTGGGTTCGAGAAATGTTGGTGACTGTCCGAGTTCAGTAGTAGCCTGGGCGAGTGTTCGAAATAGGAATTCCACGTGAAAGTCTAGGGAGTGCTTTACAGCACGCTTCAATGACTATCTGAAGCTGAGCCGATTATAGAGCGAGCACACAAAAGTGAATTTCGCTTCATCCTGCCGTTCCCATTTATATTGTGACACGAAACAGATCGTCCAGCTTACCAAGTTCTTCCTCCTTCCTGTGTCAAAGTCGGAATGATCGGCTAATTCTGGGCTTACTTATTCCGAAACAAAAAGTGGTACAACATCTCCGAAGGCAATGATTATACTATGCATTTACCTGTGTATGTAGGATATCAGTGCAGGACACCTGCTTGTTATAATTAAACTGTGGATAAAAGATTATTTGAATGCAATCGGTCCCATTTTCGGGATGCCGCCTCGCATTCAGAAGTCTTCAGAATCCTAATAACGCCTTGAGTGCCAATACAATGACTGACGGCGGCTAGTTGATGTATAGGTCGGTGCATTTATCATTCCAAAAGAGTCCGGTGCCAATTAACCGATCCCGGACAAATGGAAGACTTCTGGCCTGAGCCAGTATCGAGGCGGGATTCGACCTCGGGACCATGCGCGGGTGATAATGAACCACTTGTCCCCGTCCTAATTTTTGCATTAGAAAATATAATATGGTGCTCATCGATTTTGAACACTCTTGAGAGGCGTTTCACTTTTCTCGTCGGTGAAATCGGTCTCTTGTTGAAAACGTTCTTGTAGGGCTTGGCGCTACCCCCAATCCGCTGCCACCGTGGCCAAGTTCAGTTAAAGGTTTAACGGTGAATGTTTTGTTAATGTCATGCGTACTTCTAACTATTTCTCCTCGAGAAGCTGTCGAATTACAGTAATTGCTTTTCTTTCTAGAAAGGTCAGGGACAGGTGGTTAACAGATTGACCGTCGGGTCAGGCTACGCCGTTTCCGATCCGTAAGCCATGCAGTAGTGACTCTCCTTGAGATTACCCAACAAGTACTAGTAAAGACTGTAGCAAAGAAGAACTCACACAGACATATAAAAAGCACGGAAATAGACGCTACTACCTACTTGGATACGGCAGCAGTACAAAAACTTCCTTCTGGGTTAAATTAATGGAGCGTATGGCCATCCTGGAAAATTTCAAAATGCTGTTTCTTTTTTCAGAACGTAGACCTGCACTGTGAAGCAGTATAGCCAGTTTTTGAAGAACTTAGCGAATTTTTGAATAGCAATCGATTAATTGCAATTAAAATGCAGTTTGTTGTTGTAAAGCATGAATTCCACTAAATGCGAGTTTTCAGCAGTACCGAACAAGAAACGAAAGGAAGGTAAGACTGTCATAAGTGACTTCGCTCTAAAGCCTCAGCTCAGGCGTATTAATAGTACGACTCGACACCGACATCTGTGCCATTCGTCAACTGGTAACTCGCAAATTGATGACTCCTTTTCATGCTGCCGTAATAGAGGTGGACGCCTTCCTAGAATACATGAAGCGGCTTTGCGCCGATGCTCGACGCTTTTGCGTAAACCTGGCGCTCGACGCTCGCATGCTGCGTCAGCGTCCGCGCAGCCGCTGACAGCGTTCGCTTAGAACATGTCCTTTTCCAGACAGAGCCATAATCTTCATAATTTAGGTTTTCCACCCCAAATCGTGAACGTTGCAGTCAATTTCGTATATATTGCAACCAATTACTTTATTAACTCTACCATTCTATTTTGAAGATTTTGCAGTCGGTTTCGTATTTGCAAACCCCATTTCGTATTTTTTGCAACAAATATCGTAAACGTTTCAATTTCCTAAATTCCCTTACGTGCGACTTGTTCTCAACTTTACAAACAGCATAACGGCTTCACATGAGCAGCATCGTCATCTGCTATGCCACGAACAAACAGTGCATGTATGTAAGTATAATACACGTCGAGAATAGGCGCCTTAGAGAAGAGACGCTTTTGCCAGTTCCTCGATGCTATATCCGGTTTCTGAGAAGCAAGGCATTGGAAACGTCGTCATGTGGGAATGGACAGTGACCGATTCCACAAAGTTCGAGAAATGGGGGTCTACTCACTTTTCGAATTAAGTTGATGACATTGTCGAATTTGTGAATAGAAAAGAAACAAAGTAATTATCGGTGAGAGGGTTACCCAAAGTCTTCTCCGTAAAAGACGACTTCGCTAGTTTGAGGTATTTATCCGCCTTAAATACGCCACAATAACTGTTGAACATCATAATAATAACAGTAAACACGGGCGACGTTGCGCAGAAGTTGATGGCGTGAACGGCGTGAAGTAGTAGCAGGAAGAGGCAGTGTCGTCCTGTGCGCCGGTCGTATCCTCGAATGCCACTCTTCGATGCCCTTCTCCTCTCGCTTGTTGCTGCCTGTAATCAGCAGGATCATCGGAGCCAAGAAACCTGCAATGAATGTGTCATCGTCGATCTGTCCCTTGCTTCTAAGGTTACTTACAACTCTTACACCCCCCCCCCCCCCCCCCCCCCACTATCACAAAACCTCCGTTCTCGGACGTGGATTCTAGCACATAGAGAAGAGGGAAAACTAAGCGCCTTACCTGGTTCCGAATGTTTTACGCGAAGACATCTGGAATACGGAACGCGGCGATGATTGTACGATGTTCGTAAGCCCAGTGAATCAGCGTGCCCCAGTTGTGTAGGCCATGAAGAGCGCCAAAATTGCCTAGAATAAAAAGACCATGTCGGCAACGTGTGATAGCGGCGTTTCCTTCTTTGGTCGTCTAAGAATTCCCCTGACGAACGGTGAACCATTGTGTAAGTCGCTAATATCACTACGATATCCACTTCTCTTCTTTGTACGGAGTCAAGCGTGAAAAGGTGTACGTCGAGTTTCGCTGCCGTGTCTTTCATAAGTAAGCATCGCGCGCAATTGAAACGAATAAACCTTACTTTTTCCAACGACACTATAAAGAATATCAGATTTATCTTCAAAACATAGAATGATACAAGGGTACGAGATCGAAATGAAACAACATTATTGCAACGCACAAAAGAAGGAAGTGGCACGTAATGAGATGAAATCGAGAAACTGATGGCGAGGAGGACCAAACTAGGCATTGATCCGAGGGAGACAGACGTGGACCCGAGCGTCCTCGGTCCGGACGTGAGGCTGATTCCTCGAAGAAACTCGAAGAGCCGTTGTCCCGCCCTGAAAGTATTCGATGCATGATCTTTTGGAAAAAATGCGTTGCGATTGTAAGGTGCTACGCTTACACCTCCCCTTTTACCAAAAGTCTGACCCGGACGAGTCGGTGCTCAAAAGAAATTATCCATCCGGGTATTAGGGACGATGGCGACAAGCGAGTCTGCCCAGTCGAGCAAGCGGGACCATGTTGGTATGACGCGTAGAGAGGGCGCATGTCCTATGATGAAGAGCCCATACCGACAGCGTTGTTGCGACGTTGAGAAGAATTCGGCTAAACTGACTAACTGAAATTAGTTTTAGTAGTATGGATAATGACGACGTCCTTTTCGCATCCTCGAACAGAGCCGACTGTGGTCAGCTCAATCTCGCGCTGGGACAGCGGTTCTTTAAAGTGCCGGTATTGCTCCCTGTAAAACGTGATTACACAAATGCACATTTTTAGAACGTCGTTACGGGCTAAGAGGTCTAAGCGCCGCAAACAGACGTTACCTTCAGTGTGTAATAATGGAATTGACTTATGGCCTGCTGCAATGTGCCTGACATGTGAATGAACATAAAGGGCTCGCCTTGTGGCGGGAAGCAGATGCGATCCAGCAAGAGAGTACGAGCCTCCGCAGGTGTCCTACTGACCAGTGTTCCCGCGTACGCTATGGTGTTAGGGAGCTCAATAAGAGCGCGGTGCGCGCGGAATGTTGTTATCAGAGGAGCGACAGGCATCCCCGGAGCATGCGACAGAATGGTCATGACATCACGGGCGCCGTGGAGTACAGGGTTTGACGAGTGGGGACGTTTGGCGTGCGGGGTGAGTTGGTGCTCATCGCCGATGTGTACATGGCGGGCGTCATGAGAGCGGGCGGCGATAGCGAGAAGGGCAGGTTCCGGGAACTGGGAAGCTTCGTCGCCTATGATGGTGCGAAACGAGGGAATGTAAGGGGTGAAAATCCCGGCCCGCCCCGCCGTAGAATTGAGCAAAGATGCTGTAGTCTTGCGTATGACGGAAGGACGGTAGACTTCAAACATTATGCGAACCATCCGGCGACGCGTGGTGGACGTATTCCTCTGCTATCTCATACTGCTCTCTTTCATCGACCGACATTTCGCGGACGCGCTCAGGTGAGCTAGGAAGTCCTCGAGAAGTTGGCAATGGTCCCTGAAGTCGGGACAATATATGCGCTCGTCGAAGTCTAACTGGTCGTAGAAGGTGTAACCCAGCGACTTCAGAATCTTGGTGAGCAGGTGAGCAACAAATTGGTTAAAGAGCAGCGAAAGTCAGTTAGTAGAGAGTCACTAATCGCAATTATTGAATATCATTTTGTGTAGCGTGTCGTGTTGATAGTCTCATGCTCCTCGAGAAGGAAGATGAGTAGGAAATGAAGCTCTGAAGGGTGTGTGTGGCCGGCACACTGGCTATGGGCAAGTTTTATTAATCAAGCACGAAGCCGCGTATCAGTGGTGTACGGATATTTATAACCAGCTGATACGGGTAGCAAATATAATGGGGTCATCAAAAGGTCAAACGGTCACAACTAATCTATGGGGAATCTACGGTCAAAGGGGTGGTGAACAGTGTGGGCTCATCAAGGTTGAAGGGTCTTGCAGAGCGTGTGCGTAGTGGTTCAGTGGTTGTGTCGATATATGTTTATCTTTTGCGCTTGGTTATGTTATGAATGAGTAACAAGACAAATATGGCAATCGCAGAATACCTCGAAAGATGGCAAAGTAAAGCAAAATAAAAGTAAGGTTGAAAGGTATTAACTAAACAGGTAGACCAACGTCCCGCCCTTGTAGTCAACATAAATCCGGGCTCATCCGCATCGGCTTATACAGAGTGAAAATTTGATTCTTCCTCTATTTCTCAATTTCGAGCATTATTTTCTTTCTATCTGTGCGAGGTGGTTCAGTGGTAATGATTATATATGTTTATCTTTTGTGTTGATTATGTTATAATTAAGCAACAAGATAAATACAGCAATCACAGAAAGAAAGGCAAAGTAAATGTAATAAGGCTGAGAGGTCTGAACTAAATGGGTAAATCCTTGTCCTCGTTTTGCGGTAGAGTGAAGACCACGCTTTTTGGTGGCCCCGCCCGCTTGCCCCCTCTAATCATAGTTGGCGTCCCAACGTCGTCTCAGACAGTTAGAGAGCGACGAGGGACGGGGATCGTCGACTCAGACGACGATACTATCTGCCTTATTTTTACAGGCTTTGAACTCCTCTCTGATCTCGCCGCAGAGTTTCTGCCTGTTGCCACTTTCCAACAATGTGATGACTAGGCAGAAGGGTGACGCCTTTGATATAATCAGAGAGATTGTTATCTCTCTCTTAAACGAACAAATAAAAAAGCGGTGGTTCAGTGATAGTTTATTTGAGAACAAGCGCAAAGACCTCGGTTACGGGTGGCGTACAAGAAAAGAGGGATACTTAAGCCCCGATCCCTGAGGAGCGGGGGTTAACGGCGGTTCTGGCCTATGCCATAACAAATAGTGCCATTGCAGACCTCATTGTTCGTAGGTCTCTTCATCTGCTGCGGGGTAATCTACTTTGGCTGCGTATTCCCTGTAGCGTACGATCAAATTTTTGAGCGTAGTTGCGCTAGCAATGATAGGTCTTCTATGGAAGTGGAGGGACATGTTGTCTGTGATTGCTTTGTCTTGATGAAATATGAAAGTTGCTAATAGAACAACGTTCGATTCTATTAAATTGTTTGAAAGATGTAAAATCTCGCTCGATTCTATTTAATTATTTGAAAGTTGTGGAATCACGTTCGATTCTACTTCTGTTACGGGCGCTGAGACTAGGGTTTTGGTGGACCCTTTTATAAGCACCTCGCGGTGGTTCAGTGGAATTATAGTAGTAGTGAGAGATGGAAAAGAGTAATACGAAGAATATTTATTTAGAGCACGAGCTTATTACGAGCGAAGTCATATCGAAGAGTGGTGAGCTTGTCCCCAAGCGCCCAGGTGGTCCGCCCCAGCCAGATGAGGTTGTGAGGGGATGGTACTGAATGCAAAAATGATAATGTATAATAGGCAATACAAATAGTTAAGGTTTTAACCACGTATCGCCCTTGAAGTCGCTAGCGTAGTCTGGGACCACGCTTTTTGGTGGTTCTGCCCGCTTGACCCCCGTATTACGTAGGAGTCCCTACATCCTTGAAACGTCGTCTCAGACTAGAGCGACGAGGGATAGAATGTAGACTCAGACGATAGTCGTCGTGAAAGCGACGAGAATGGAATCGTCGGCATAGGCGACGTTAACAAAAGAATAAACAATTTCTCTGTAGATCTAGATGAAAGTACAGTAGAATGAATAGTAGTAATAAAATATGAATAGTAATAATAGTAATAACATGAATGGGATATAGTAATAGTAAAAGCAGTAATAATAGCGCAGCAGCCAAGGGCTGTAGCAGGCGCAATACGAAACCATGTTACATTTATCTACGCCAACTATAAGAATCGCTGCAGCAGTAGGACCCCACGGAATAACGCGCTCTATTCTTGCAAGGCTGTCCAAAAGAGAACGAAATTCGCGAATTCCTCCGGCCTTACTTATCCCTTTCTTTAATTTTTAATTATGTAGTTGTTATCCCGTTAATGGCACTATCCTGTCTTTCGCATTGCAAAAAATTAAATTTCTTTAATGTATCATTTTACAGGATTGCTAGGGGGTCTTACCCACTTCGGCACAGTTCGTATCCTCTTCGACCCTGTAAGTTTTAGACAATTTCACCGTGCTGTCTAAGGACATGTGCGTTACGTGGTCTTCCAGATAAGCTCGATCCTCACGCTCACGTCTAGCGAAATTCAGGCTGCTCGCCATGCTGCCATCACTTACCGAACTGATATATTGGACAGGCCTGACCGTCTTTGAACTATGGCTTCACGCCGTGTCCCTTCTTGCATGTTTAATAATGCTTGTGAGTTTATAATTATGATTCATATTGAAAAATCGTGAGCAAAATTTCAAAGTTATAACTAGCTGCATTAAGCATTGCCATAGTGCCCTTTCTGTAGTTACGCGTCCAGGAGTTTATTTTATTTTAAAAAAGTAGGTCCAGATATTTTCCTAGAAGGACTGTTCCAGATTTTCTGGAAAGCTTTTATTTTTGAGAAGAAAATTAGGTCTGATTTTAATGTTACGTGATCAGATTGTTCTGTCGCATAGACTGCTTTCTGAAAAACCATAAATGATTTGGCACAATATAAGTAATATTTTGATCAGGTCTGCTTGTATTTCAATGCTGACTGAGGAATTTAATTATCCGTAAACAAGGCATGCTTTTCAGGCACTCAAAATTCATCAAGTCTGTGCGATGTCATACTGGCTAGTGTTTTCTCCTCTTTTTATTGCCAGTGCTTTCAATTCCTACTTCGTATTCATCATTTTCGTTCGATCCGTATTTGAATACAAAGACTTCAAAGGACCGGTGCTCAAGTTTGTTTTACTTCTCTTTATACTCAACATCAAACGGTTTCGTTAACTCTTTTTGTAAGCCTTTCGGTATGGAAGTGTCACGCGTTTGAAAAATCCTTTTACACTTTTTGGTTTCTAGGTCGAGCCAGAAATGCATACCCTCTTATTCTAGGTCCTTTTAATTTTTCTTCATGTAAAAGCTAGTACAGAATGGCGAGTTTCACTCAATGTGAAACAAGTCCCACCTTCATGCCATTAATTAGACAATTAGACGAGAACGGCGCAATAATTTGGTTTGGACGTACACACTGAAGGAACGAAAATAGTTGAGGGCTAGAAAAAGCTCCCCCTTGTTGGTATCCTATAGTTTTCGACGACGTTCTAATGTTAGTCAGTGTATAGCGTATCTGATGGTGAGGTAACTTTTGCTTCGCACCACTCAAACAACCATGTCTGATTTTTCTCAGTCAAATATCGCCATTTGCCTATACAAAAAATAGGCATAGCGATAACCCCTTTGAGTAGCCATAAATTAACAAGACCTCTCTGTATTCCCCGTCTGATTCTGATCTATATAAACAGAACCGGTTCATTATCATTTATGCTCGTTAGAGCCTAGTGAATGCCGCTCTGGGTCATCCCTAAACCACTCAGAGAGCGTTTTTCAAAGAGTACTATGTATGCGTATAATTCCGATTGAAGGGATCTTATAGTAGTCCAGAAAACTTATCTCAGAGAAAGAGCTGACTTGTAGATATTTGAGACAAATTGGATTTACATGTGCAGCTTGAACATTTCCGAGAATCACTGTTCAGATTTGGATTCAATGTTATGCGACTCGCTTTGATTGCTTTATTTGAAGTATTATTGTGCTACAAAGTTGAAGGAGATTTCGAACACGGTCAGGTAGCAGTACGTTCATCTTATGGAATAGTATTTACACCTATTTGGATACTTTCCCTTGCATTATGTATACAAACATGTAGACTATTTTGACGAAGTAGTATACACGAGTAATGCTATTGTTTTGCTTAACTTGACTATGATCAGATAGACTTTGTGGTGATCTCGACATCTAACGGGTAATGGTAACAGTTGTAAGTTTGTACTTTCTATATAGAATAAATATTTTATTCCAAGTAAGAACTTTAGCAACAAAACAATTTGATCAATGATGAAATGCAAATTATATTAGAAGAAATTTAAGATATTCACCTGAGTAGTTGTTTCATAAGGCACCATAACCCAACAAATGAATGGTACCTATAGGCAATCAATACATTACCCATGAAAGACGATGAACGATGTAATCGGCAAGAATAAGCACGGGAAGAGAAGTTCGGTAGTTGTCATAGAATATCACAAACATTTAATAGTGAAACCATCATGCCTCTAAATTTATATCCTATCTCATCCGAGTTCACTGAAGATTTGCTTGTGATGGTCCTATTCATCAACCTCATCGCATGAGTCACAGTCTAAGTATTCCTCGCTCAAAAACTCGTCTCGTGTTACTTGTCGCAGTTTTAAAGGCAGCTTCTTATACCAAATGTGGTAATCGGACGCATCAGCTCGGTCAGACTTTGCTAGTTCCTCAAGACGACGTTCCTTAAAAGAATAGTCGTTATAATAGGAACAATCCAGCACTTTTTCTCTGATGACATGAACCTGGTGTAACGCTACAATTATTTGACAAACTGACCCCTTGAACGAGTTCAATACCACTCTTTCGTCAATGTAACCTGTAACTACAATGCGTTAAAAAGCCCACTCAGAACCTACTTGTCCCCGAAACTAGCCACTATCTTGTGAGGGACTGCTAAACAACTTCGCCGCTTTCATTTCAATGAAAGCGGGTAGATCTTGCGCTGTTTCTGCTCCACTTTAATGATCTTTCAATCTACTAATTCTTAAATGAAAGATGGGAAAACAGAAATTGTGATGGTCCTATTCATCAACCTCATCGCATGAGTCACAGTCTAAGTATTCCTCGAATGTGGCCGCTTTCGAGGCCGCATACGAATTGCTGAATGATCACGAATGCACTCTTAGATTGTACGGTTTCTCGGTCTCCCAGATAATGACGGTCTTGAAAGAGTGCTTAAACTGCTCGTTTTTCAGGTGGTCGGGCGTTTACTATAAACAGATTAGGGGTTTGGCTATGGGC